TGCTGTGGTAGGCGTTCCACAATTAAAGTAGCAGAAGATGGGCATGGATGTTAGCTCAGGGCCAGTCTTCCTCAGCAAAAAGAGGAGGATTGGCAGTAGTTAGCTCAGGGCTAATCTTCCTCAAAAAAAAAAAAAAACAGGTAAAGAAGCTTGCATCATCTGTTATTGAGAACAGACGAATACCCCAAGAAAAACTTATCCTTTCAACAGAAAAGAAAGACAAATTTTAATTTTGCATCAGCATATTTTGGTATTTAAACTCATTTTAATAAATTCATTTTAATCTTAGCCAGCTTGACCACACATTAAAATTCCTTTCCCAAGATTCCTTTCTGCAAACTTTCTTCACTTTTTTTTACATTTAGATTTTGCCTTTCCCCTGCTCTTTCCCATTCCAAAATAGCTAGCCTCTCTTTAGGACAAAATTACTTTCTTTTCCCCCAAGAAAATGCATTTCTGTTCTTCACACCTTCTTTTATCAAAACACATATCCTACATTCCTTGCATGCAGAGATGTTTCTCTTATTACATATAGTTACTAGAATTCTTAACCCTTAGAATCCTTAATTTGTAGTGAAAAAGTAAGAAGTAAGCAATTGTGGACTAGTAAATTTATAAATACATTTCAAAACTTCTAAAAGCATAAGCCTTTTTAAATAGTACAATCTTTAAATGTGGCATAAGACATGGTTACTAACAGACTCAAATTTATCTTTAACTTCTTTGCAATAGGGAGACAAAGTTGATAAACATGTGTTCAGTAATTAATGTTTTAGTATTTTATACTATTTGGAAACATACTATGTGCAAACATTTTCTTTTTTTGAGGAAGATTAGCTCTGAGCTAACATCTGCCACCAATCCTCCTCTTTTTGCTGAGGAAGACTGGCCCTGAGCTAACATCCGTGCCCATCTTCCTCTACTTTATATGTGGGGTGCCTGCCACAGCATGGCTTGACAAACAGTGCATAGGTGTGCACCTGGGATGCGAACCTGCAGACTCTGGGTCACCAAATCGGAATGTGCACACTTAACCGCTGAGCCAGCGGGCTGGCCCTAACACACTGCTTTACTGATGGAGGATTTTAAACATGTTTTCTTACCTGGTAGGTCTAAAGCTGGGCATCTGAGGGGTACTGTAAATATTCAATAAGAATGTGATTACTCTTTGATCTTGTTTCCAACACAGACAATGGGATAAAAAGAAGTTAATCTTGTTAATTTGCTGTTTTCTTGTTTAACCTGAGAGGTGACTGAAGAGTCATAAGGATTTATGAGCTTGTTTGGCAAAAGAAAAATAATACCTTCAAGGAAGTTACAATCAGATGACCAGATAACCAGGCCCCAGCTGCGGTTGCCGCAGAGAAGTCTGATTGCCCGAGGGCTTATCTAGAGTGAAAGAAACATGGATTTCCCCTTTGCTTCTGAGAAACTCGTCCTTCCGATCCCCATAGCTTTATAACCTCCCCCTCACCCCCAGCTTTCTTCTTCTGTTAAGGAAAGATTTGAGAGGACTTATCTCCCGCCTTCTTGTTTTGGCCAATTCGAATAAATCTTTCTCTAGTCCAAGCACAGGTGTCTCAGTGACTGGCTTGCTGCTCACCGGGCACACAAACTTGAGATTACGAGGCTCACCATCAGGTCTAGTAGGCCCCTCCCTATTACTCTTTATTTTCAAAGTTTTCCTGGCAGATAGTCTTGCTTTTGATTTTTCTTGTGGAATTTCCCCCCATATGTAAATTATCACTTTAGTTAAAAATAATTATTGGTGTTTTACAGGAATTGTATTAAATTCATACATTTCTTTACGCAGATTGACATCTTTCTGATGTTAAATCTACTTATCCAAGAATATGGTATTTTTCTCCATGTGTTTAAGTGTCCTTTTGGTAGTTATTTAAAATTTTATTCATGTAGATGTTGCACAACTCTTATAAAACATTATTGTTGGGTATTATATTGTCGTATTTATATACTTGTTCCTTTTTCCTATAAGTAATCTTGCATAAAATGGATCTTTTCTTCCATTATATCTTCTTTTAGATACATGATAGCTATCCTTTTTTTTTTTATTTTGATTATTGCTTGTTACTGAATTGTCTTATTTTTTGTGTAGTTTTTTAAATGATCTCATCTGCTTTGGATCTGATGCTTAAGTAAGAAATAAACTTGTTACGTGTAGACACCGAGCTTTTGGGCTTGTTGCTACTGCAGCATTTCCTAGCTATCCTGATAGATACAAGTGATCAAAAAACCCAAAAAAGACACTCAACACACAAATATAGTAAGGTAATAGTCTGTTGGGGCAACGGGACAACAGAAGCAGGACTTCAAGGAGGAAAAGGAACAATGACATTTTGTACTGTTATAGAACTTACAGATTTTTTTAAATGGAAAATAGTGAGAATCAAATTACGATGGTATCTATATTCCAACGGATATGTTTTAAAGAGTAACATCCAGTTTTATCTAAAACTATCAACATTTACAGCGTGCCAGAAATCACGTCCTTTGCAACTCTTTTAACTTGCACTGAAGTCTTACAGATACCAAGTAGAGTGTTTGGGAACTGTAACTGATGTTCGCGGACGGACAGCCGGCTGTCTCCTGCTTGCTCAGGGCAAGGGGGGCTGCTGGGGCTCTCTTCGCCTTGTCCAGGCCCCCTCTGCTGTCCTGCTCTCCGGGCCGTAGACTGCGCGTCCCACCTGCACCGTGGGATGCCACCCCCTCTCTCCGAGGCACACCTGCTGGCTCTCAGCTCAGGCAGGGAACTTGTGGGTCCTATTGATGTTACAGAGACAGCGGGAGCAGTTCTGGGAAAGCTGAAAGCCAGAACTTTCTCTTTAACCGCAAGTACTCAGAAGCCAGACTTTGGCTGTGAATCCTAGGTCGGCTTCCTAGTAGTTGCGTGTTCTTGAAGTTTGTCAGCCTCTTTGTGCCTTAACTTCCTCATTTGTAAAACGGCTCATTGTAAGTATTAAAGGACGTAACGACCGCCGAGCACGGACAGCCGTGTCTGCGGAGCGGAGCGCTCGGCCACGCCGCAGCCACCGCGGTCCCCGCGTCGCCAAGCCGCGCTCCGGCGCAGCCCGGCCCGCCGGGCTCCAGGGACTGAGCCGCCCCGCGGCCAGGGGTGCGCCTGCGCCGACACAAAGGCGCCTGCCGGGCGGTGGCTGCTCTAAAACCCAAAACCAAGTGCATTTCTTCTCGTAGAAGTTAGTAAAGCGCTACAACCAGGTTCCCACCTGTTCCTCTTCCCGCACCGCATTAGCGCGAGAGCAGGAACTGCAAGGAGGAAACCCTCCCAGGGCAGCTTATTCCAAAGGGCCGACGGACCGCCGCGCGCCGCCTCTCCATCCGGGGTCCTCTCGGTCGCCGGCGGGAGCGCGCACGCCGCCTCCCCCGCCCCCAGGCCGACGGCGCCGTCGAGTCACGTGCCCGGCGCGCCTCCGCGGCGGCGCGTCCCGGGCGGAAGTGAGGTCGGCGGCGCGGCGGCTGCGCAGCGTCGGCGGGGCGCGCGGGCTGCGGAGAGGCGGGCCGGGCGCGGAGCAGGGGAGTGGGCCGCGGCGGCGGCGGCGACTGGCCCTCGCGGCTCGGCCCCCGCATCGGAGCAGGCCTCCGCGGCGCTCGCCCCGGGCCGGCGCGCTGGTCAGCGAGGCCCAGGCCGCCCGCCGCGGCGCGGGGAGCGAGTGAGTGCGGGCGGGGCGGGCGGGTGCCCTCGGGCTCGGCGCGCGGCCCGGCGGCCCGGCCGGAAGTGCAGCGCTTTGTGCGGCCGGGGCGGCGCCGATGCCGGGCCCGTGCGAGCCCGAGCGACCCCGTGGGGAACTGTGCGAGGGGAGCGGCGGGGTGCGGTGCTGCCGCCCGGCTGTGGACGCCCACGAGCGCGTGCGCGAGGCGCCGTGCCTGCCGCACGTGCGCGCCGCCCGCCCGGCCGAGCCGGTGGCGCTCGGGCGCCTCAGCCGGGCTGTTTCCGAGAGGGCCCTCGGGCCCGCGCGGGCGCTCGGAGCGAGCGGCGGGCGGCTGGGGCGCGCGCGCCGCGTTGCTCTTGTGGCGCGCGTCCGCTTGCTGCGGGTTGTAGGGTTCGTGCTGCGTTGAGGTCGGGCGGAGAAGTAGCTTGGAGTATGTTAGCGTGCGAGGAAACTCGTAAAATGACAAAGTTTGTCTGGTTCCCACTCCTCAAACTCTCAAGTCATCTCTGTGTAATTTGAGATTATTTTGTCAGATATCACATGGAAAACTTTAGGTGAAAGGGTTTTTTAAGGCAATAATAGGGCCACATTTAAACTTTGGTAAGTAAACAGGTAGTGGATTACTTTAGCCTTGACAGCCAAGAATTGAGCAGTTTAAGGCTGTTTTTCCTCGGTGTTGAAGCCGCTGTGGTGCGCGTCGTGAGGGCTGGCTGTCTGTCTCAGGCGTTGTGAAGCGGGTTTGCGCTCGGCTCGCTCTGGCGCGGGTGTTCGCCCGTGCGGCCTGTGCCCGGCCCGTCTGCCTGAGTGGAGGCCCGGGTCTGGGAGGGTCGCCGCGGGCTCGCTCTGGCTGCTCCTGGGCCGCGGCCGCCGCTGCAGCGCCGTCGGCCTGCCTCCTGGCCTCCGGAGGAGTCGGAGCGCGTGTAGGGCGGGCGCCTGCAGCCCGGGAGGAAGCGGGGAGCCCCGTCTGCTGCTGTCCCTGCTCTCCTGCCCGCTTATCAGGCCTGAAATAGTTGCCAGGATTTTCAGTTCTGCTCTGCAACTGCCTTTCAAACCATTCCCATTTTAAGGTTAGATAGACAGAATTCTACTGCCAAAGTTATTTGCGTTTTCAAATATCAGGAAAATGAGTATTGTAATGTCACAGATGCAGAAGATTAGAACTGAAAATTTTTTTTTAAGTACATTTAAAAAATATATATGTATATTATTTTGGTGAGGAAGACTGGCTCTGAGCTGACGTCTGTTACCAATCTTCTCTGTCTGCTTGAGGCGGGTCATCCCTGAGCTAACGTCTGTGCCTGTCCTCTACTTTGTATGTGGGATGCTGCCACAGCATGGCTTGATGCGCGGTCTGTAGGTCCATAGCCAGGCCGAGCACCCGCAGTCCCAGGGCCACTGAAGTGGAGTGCATGAACTCAGCCACTATGCCACTGGGCCAGCCCCTGAAAAATACTGTTTTAACTTTTTATTGGTTTTGTAGTTTAAAGAGAAATTTTTGTCTGCCAGACTTCTGTTATATAAACCTCTTTTTTCCTGGATTAGTTGAGAACAGTTTTAAAACAGCTATACACCAGTGTAACAGAGTAATAGTTAATTTTGTCATGTTTGTGTTCCACTCTCTGTATCTTTGAAGTCTCCCCAGTTGTTCTGCGCAGCAATACATGAATTTCTCCCAATGGATTGCAAGCCTTGGTAGGGAAGGTAGACTTTGGGGGAGTTGAGAACTTTCTGCTGTTGCGTGCTCTTCTTGATCAGAGGTTACTGAGCATTTCCAGTGTTGATTATAGTAATGGGCACTTGTATCTATATTGATGTCTCAGAGAGAGAGGATTTAAGCTTCTTGAAATTAGTTTTGTTTACGTGAAATACTAGTATACAAGGCCTTTAAAATTTTATAATTACTGTTTTGTGTGGGAACTTTGTTTAGGTCATGGTATGTTTTGAAACTAGAGAAACTAATACAGTAATTGGTCTTAAATACACTTTCTCTCTGATTATTATTGGGTTTTTAAATTGAAGAATTTTGCTGACATTCTTTTTTTTATAGGTAAATCTGAGATTTGTCTATTCTGTTGCAAGTGTCAAACCACCCATAGGAATTCTGACAGTTGAGTCATTCCAAATGGAAAACTAAAAAAAAGTGATACCCTCTGGATCCAGCCTTGGAATTGGGATCCTTGGCCCACACCATAGCAGACTGGGAAATTCCTGGTTTCTGGGTGGCCAGTGGCACTAGAACCTGAGGGAGTGTGGGTTTTTTCCTTCCGTTTTCCATTATGCAGATTTAAAAAGTGTAACAATACAGTGTACAGCCATTTACCCAACATCTCGATGTAATAATTATTAGCATTTTGCTGTAGTTTCCTGTCTTTGTAGAAATATTTTAAATTATAGACTTAATGTCATTTTTATCCTTATATGCTTTCATCTGTATTTCTAAAAAAATGATATATCTTTACGTAACCAAAATACTGTTAGCACACCTAGCAAAATTAACAATTGTTTAATGTCATTTAAGAGCTACCCCATATTCATTTGTATCCCCAAATCCTTAAAATATCCTTTCACAGTTTTTTCAGTCTAAATCAGGATCCAAACACAAACTACCTATGGCCTTTATGTCTACATCTGTTTTAATGTACCTCTGTCCTTCCCACACCTCCACCTTTTTTCAGACCGTTGACTTACTGAAGAAACTGGGTCGTTTGTCCTCTAGAATGCTCCACCTTTTGGGTTTGTCTCTTTGTTTCATGGTGATGTTCAGCATATTCCTCCAACTCCTGTCTTTTCCTATAAACTAGAAGTTCAATGGATGCGCTCCATTAGATTCAGATTTTTCTATTTTTGCAGCAGTACACCTTAGATGAGGCAGAGTAATTCCATCGTGTGAGGATGCATATAACGTTTAGTTTGACGGTTAGTGATATTAAGATTGGTCACTGGGTTCAGCTTTCATAGTCACTGATCAATAAACAGGTGTGTTTCAACATTTCTGATTAGATTTTAAATAAATGTCTCAGCTTCATGTTTATTGCTATGGAATGTCCTGTATTCTATTGTATAGTAGTTCTTTTATTGAAGAACATTGAGAAGATATTTACAACCTACCTTTGTGCTAAGCGTTTGTGAGATGCAGGGAGACGGGGCTGCGTGAGCTATTTTCCCTGCCCTTGAGGCTCAGAATCTTGGGGGAATCTCTCATTTTTTGAACAAGTAATGTAAGGAGCTGTTTGACATTTGTTCACACACCTTGTCTTTGTATTACCATTTTAAGCCTTTTGTCCAATTGGAGAGGGAACTGAAGCATTTTCTTTCACCAATCCTATTATCATATTTTCTTACCTATAATTTTTAATTCATTAAGACTTTTTAATCACTTTAGAAAATATTTATTGTTATTAGCCTCTGGGGAAGTAAAAGTACTTTCAAGAAATGTAACTTCCGAGTAGTTTGGAACTTCTGGTATTTAGAATTCAAATGCAGTTCTATGAATTTTTTAGTGACAAATGCAGAGTAGAATTGTATTACTGGTTTAGACTGTAAGCCAGGTCATTATGGAAAGAGAGCCTTGTGTTCAGTGCTTCATTTGGATTGTTTATAATTGTGGCTGTTATAAACATTCATGTGCAAGTTTTTGTGTGGATGTATGTTTTCATCTTTCTTGGGTGTAGACCTAGGAGTGGAATTAGCGGGTCATATCATAACTCTTGTGTTTACCTGCTGTGCTGTTCATGAGCTTCATTGCCTACCAGATGACATCTCCAGCTCAGCCCCACATTTAAGGGTCTCCCTATGATGGTTCTAACTTAACCTACGTCTCCATAACATCTTTGCAGATTCCCTACCTGTCGCTTAAGCTCCAGGCAAGCCCAATTGCCTGATATTCCTAAAGCATTTTCTCATTTCTATCACTTTTGTGATCCTACCTGCTGCTTAGAGCTTATTGGAAACACCCCTCTGTAATCAAGTTTTTCCTAACCATTCCTCCCCTCCTACAATGAATTTTTGCTTTCCTCATTCAACCTTCAGAACGCTTTATTCTACTGTTAGGTGGCTCGTCACACTCTTTGCCCTCTATCACCATTATTCATGTCTTTTTTTTTCTTCCCCAAATCCTGCCAGTACATAGTTGTATATTTTAGTTGTGGGTCCTTCTAGTTATGGCACGTGGGACGCTGCGTCAACATGGCCTGACGAGCTGTGCCATGTCTGCACCCAGGATCCGAACCGGCAGAACCCTGGGCTGGTGAAGCAGAGCACGCGAACTTAAAACTCGGCCACAGGACCGGCCCCCATGTCTTTTTTTCTTATAGGCCTGTTTGTGCAGTACAATAGCTATCACCTACATGTGACTGTTTTTTTTTTAAATTTTTTTTAATTCTAATTTTTTTTTTTTGAGGAAGATTAGCCCTGAGCTAACTACTGCCAGTCCTCCTCCTTTTTGCAGAGGAACCCGTGCCCATCTTCCTCTACTTTATATGTGGGACGCCTACCACAGCATGGCTTTCCAAGCGGTGCCATGTCCACACCCGGGATCCAAACTGGCGAACCCCGGGCTGACGAGAAGCGGAATGTGTGAACTTAACCAGTGCACCACCGGGCCGGCCCCTACATGTGACTGTTTGATTCAAATTAAACTGAAATGTAGTTCCTTAGTTGTGCTAGCCACATTTCAAGTGTTCATAGCTATTAGTAGCTACTGTATGTGGTCAGAGCAGACATACATTTCCATCTTCACTGAAAGTTCTGTTGGACATCACTTTTCTAGATTGTAAACTCAGAACAGGGACTGTGAGAGCTTTTTTTTGTTTTTTCTCTTACCTTTGCATAGTGCTTTGCTTATCTTGAATTCAGTTAAGAAAATAAAATTAGATTCTGGCACAGAATAGAGAAATACAGTTTTAGGAAGTATTTACTTCTTGAGAGATGATAGTTGAACTAGACAAGTTGATGAAATATTTGAGGGCCTCCACAATGTTTATGTTGTAGTTCCTCCAAGAATGGGTTGAAAGTGCAGAATAATAGGGATTGGCAGTTGCCAATTTGTTTATTCTTAAAGTGTGGGGTAAAATACACGATTGAGTCTCCTGATTTCTTGCTATGTCTTCCTGTCCTTGTTTTCTCTCTCTAGTCTGTTCTGTAGACTTGCAGTGTCCAGTGTGGTAGCCCCTAGTTGCATGTGACTGTTTAAATTTAAATTGAAGTTAAATAAAACTGAAAAATCAGATCCTGCACAAGCTGCCTTCCTCCTGTGTTCAGTCGTTACTTTTAGCTGATGGGTGCTTATCGGACGGCCCACATGGAGAAGAGCTTCATCGCTGCAGAAAGTGCTGTTGGACAGCGCTGATCTGGACCTCTGTCTTAGCTGTGGTTGTGGATGTCATGGTAAATTTGGCATCTGCCTTTTGGTTTAGAAGTTTAAAAAAATTAAGACAATTCTTCAGATAATGAATGTCCCAATGATGAATGTCCCCAGTTTATTCCTGATTTAGACTAGAACTTGTTACAAAGTCTGAGAATGTGACTGAGTGTACTTTTTTGTCTACTGAACTGCTTGGTTATGAATATTCTAAATGAGTCACATGAGCTGAAAATTTGAAGTGGTTCCTTTTTGTATTTTTGTTTTAGTGATGGAATTTGATACCTAGAGTGTCTTGAGGTGCACGTGGTTTTTAAAAGTTAACAGGTGGTTGCACCTGTTTTCCGCCAGACATTGTTATTGGTGCTTGGGGTACTGCAGTCGATAGAACCAAGTCCCTGATCCCTGCCTGCATGGGGTTACATTCTAGTTGGGGTTGTAGTGGGGAAGGCAGACACTGAACAAGTAAACATATGTATATTTTATGTATTTTTATTTTTTAAATAAACTTTATTTTTTAGAGCAGTTTTAGGTTCATGGCAAAATTTAGTGGAAAGTACAGAGTTCCCATATACCTGTTGCCCCCTTTATGCTGTTTTTACTTTAATTTAAAAATTTTTTTTTGTTTTTTGTTTTTGATGAGAAAGATTGGCCCAGAGCTAACATCTGTTGCCAATCTTCCTCTTTGTTTTGCTTGAGGAAAATTGTCCCTGAGCTGACATCTGTATCAGTCTTCCTCTGTTTTGTATGTGGGATGCCACAACAGCATGGCTGATGAGTGGTGTGTAGGTCTGTGCCTGGGTTCTGAACCCCTGAACTCCAGGCCGCCAAAGTGGAGTGCGTGAACTTGACCACTATGCCACGGTGCCAGCCCTGTGTTTTTATTTTTAAATTTAAGATTGTCTTAATTCTTACTATTATTCACATAAACCAGTGAGTGACTTACTAGATGAGGGTTAGTGAAGAATACTTTGGATGATAAAATTCAGAGGAGTTTGCTGGAGGTACTAATGAGAATCTTATTTCTATTGGGGAAGGGGTAAACATGGTTATAGCTGTGC